TTAATCAGCCACTGTACCTGTGGTAGGGCCTCTGATCACCTTAATCAGCCACTGTACCTGTGGTAGGGCCTCTCCCCGCAGCAGCCCGTGTTCCTGTCTCTCGGGAAGCAGCCGAGTCCGCAGCATGTCCGCTGGCTGCCGAGCTGTGCTGTGAGAAAGCGCACAAGCTTCAGCCGAAAGGGGCTGAGAAATACAGGAGGCTTCGTCTCAAGAGCCCGACACTTCCCCCTAAGGCAGCGAAATCTCTTCACTTACACCACTTCAGCGGGGGTTACGTTAACTGTCAATAAGGCTTTAGAAGCGCCTTGAGTTTGGCAAAAGCTCATGAATAAAAACGCTTTGCCATTACACAAGCGTGTGAGTGCATCAATCGTGAGCCCCGTGTGCGCGGATACGCAAATTCGACAGCGCGAAAGCGACGAAGTGTTAAAGAATTCAAACAACACGGGTGGTCTCTGATCTGGAGGAGAGAGCGCTAATTCCTCTGGACTAATGCGCGACAGAAGGGGGCGGGCTAATAGTGATGCATCTAGACTCTTTAAAATGTTCGAAGTTCCGCGGTGCGACAGGCGCCGCACCTGTGAGCTCGTCCTCTGCAGCTGACTGAGCCCCCGGGCGCTGTCGTTCAGCCTAGTTCACTGAAACCGCTCCTTGATACTTTTCATTTCGCTAATTATGCAGTCAAAACCAGTCCTCCAGTGGTTTTAGAGTTTATCATACCTCACTCCCGGTGGCGGAAAAATCCGTTTCGATCGTGGCGATAGAGGCACATTCACATTGATTATTGGTTAGAAATCACAGATATGGAAACGAACAGTAGTCGCTGTTTTAAGGCTACTGCAAATGTCTCCACAAAAACAGCGGGTTTTATGGAAATCATGGTTTTCATCTTCCAAAATCTTGATCAGGATAATTTAATGCTGATGTTATAAGATTAAATTTATTCTGTAAGATATCCCCTTCATTAACAATGCTTGTAGCGATAAAGACTGAGTCTGTCTCCTGGGATAACGGATTTAGGGCGTTTAGTGCAGGAATTAGAGGTGATGACTTTCAATGTGATTAGCAGTTCGATAAATTATAAATAAATAATAATAAATAAATTACAAGGTGACAGTTGCAGCAGGCGGCCGGTGGAGTGGCAGAGGGTCGTGGGGAGTCTCCACGGAGCTCCGGGTTCACCCTCGCACCCGGAGCCCACAGCCCGGAGCCCGGAGCCCACAGCGCTTCCTCGGTTTGCGACCAAGGACGCTCGGTACTGCTTCGGCTGTTGCTGTTATGCCTTATTGCAGGCCCACTGCTTTAAACCATGCATTTATATTTCTTAAATTGCTGTTTTCAGGTCGATTATTACTGTGTAAATCTTTTTCGATCAAGGTATGAAATTAATGAATGAAAGTTCTCAGTAAACCAATAAACCAATTAACTCACCGCTCCCAAGAACCGACGGGCTCAGCACCAGTATCACAGCGGACACTGCAAAAAGTAATTCGAATAAACACTAATGAACGTTTATCCCTGATATTCCTACATTCACCTTCTGAACTTTAATTTGATTGTTGTACAATTATCGCTTCAAAAACAACCGAGATTTTCCCTAACGTACCCATAAAACAATTCCAAGTTCGCAATTAAGCACAAACATGAAACACTTTGAAAGCAGTGACTGATATCACTGTGTACATCATCGTCATTAGATCGCAGTACAGTACCTTGCAGACAGTCGTAGAATGGCATTGTTATTTCTTTCGGGATAGCCTCTGAATGAATAAAAAGGATTCCCCACAGAAATTTATAGTCACAAACAGAGGGGCGTATGGCATAGTTTTTAATGCTCATCTCTTTCATCCGGGGTTGTTTATAAAAAAGCAATCGCGTTATGAAGAAGATATGCATTACACAGCTCACTGTTAACACCCGAGGCATTCCGAGGTGCCACCGCCTCCCCGGCACGCCATGAACTTTCGCGACGAGAGTTAATTACTGTTTTCACAGCCCGCATCCCCATGAAAACACAGACTTTCGGCTTTTACAGAATTGAAAGATCTTGTAGGACAGATGAGCCCCAAGAATCACCTTCAGTGAAGAGGCTGGAGCTGCACGACCGTCCTTTCACACCGAAGGGGCTCAACCGCTGACCTGATCGCTGTGTGCTTCACGCTCTTTCTGTGCGTGGCGAGAAATCGACCTGTGCTCCTTCCCACACACTTTTAATGTTCACTTTCATTGTTGAATTATTGAATTAAGTCATCTCACAATAGCCCTCGGAAAACAATCCGATGTCTTTATAGATAACGGGGATTTTCCAATGGGAACTTGTAGGTCACTTATTTAAAACATAAAACGTCCCCAACAAAAAGAGCCATTCTTGCATCTGGCCTGTTTGGAAGTAGCTGGTCGAACCCAGGACCTCACCAGATGCCAGGATATCAGCTTCAACAGCAGGGCTGCATAGTTTCGCCAATACTCCCACACCCCTCTGGGTAAAGAAACGCCTGCTGGTTTAGTGTGTACTTCCTTATAGTTTCCACCTGTGTCCTCTGGGTCTTCACGGATTGTGAATCTCTGCATCTGTAGGATATTCTCTTCAGACCAGGAATGTACCTGACTGCTTTTCTCTGGATTGATTTCAAACCACAATATTCTATAGCCCTTTATTAAAATTAAATAATTTTAATACAATATTCCTTGATTTAAATTTTATATTTTTAATTATAGTCAGATTTAACTTTACTTCAGTGTTTTATTTTAATTTTGTCTTTGTTTTGAAGCCACCAATTTCAGCAGGAGTACGGGTGGCAGATCTGAAACGATCTCTCAGATGGACCAGTCTGATGTGACGGTCCTGCTCTCCAGTGTGGTCACTCGTGGGCGACTGGATCTTGGACGGTCATCTGTCCTGCCGGTCTGCTGGAACCTTCTCTGCAGTCGGGACACAGTGGAGTGGCTTAAACTCCACAGTGTCTGGCAACGCTGGCACATGACATCCTGCCTGCAGCGTGCCAGTGG